CCCCAAAACCCCAAAACCCCAAAACCCCAAAACCCCAAAACCCCTTAAAATTATGCTTCAATTGAAATTATTTTAACTAAATCTTATCCTGATGGTCCAAAGAAGGTGTCTGAAACCAGAAACGGAGGCTCAATATATAGCTATGCTGAGGACCTTTCTTTGGATTTAGGATTCCTCACGAGCACTCTCTTCGCTACTTAATGAGCCTTCTTCCTCCTCCACAACTCGTGTGAAGAGATTTACATTGACTTCTGGTTCTGCCTCTTCTTCACCTTTATGTAAGGGCTTGGTCTTTTCTGAGTTTTTAAGGTCAAGACTTGGAGTTCGTTTATCGAAATATGATTTGGTCTCCTCATCAGGGTCTTTGCTTGCTTGTTTTGGCCCAAAACTGACTATTCTGCCTGATCTAGAGAGGAATTAGAAAGGAAAATAAATTTGCAAACGATATATTTCTATATGGTGCCATTACCCATTACTATTCTTGCCGAATTTAGCAGTTAGAGAATCATCCACTTTCTCATTTCCTGAACTAGGGTGATCATCCTTGCTCTCTTCTCTCGAAAGATCTGGCTCTTTCGAGGAAAAGCGTGATTTGTTCTTGCTTAATGGCGGTTCATGAGAGAGCTTCCTCTCTCTAGGCTTTCTGTACTCTTCAGGAGGCTGCTTGTCTTCCTCACATCGTGAGATTTCACTGTGAAATTGGGACCGAATTTCTGACTTTATCTCTAGAATACCTTTGCCATGGGTGGTCATGAGAGACTGCATGTCGTCAATTCTGGTAAGGATTTTCTCCATCATCAAATTAGTACGATCTAGATGTTGGACCAGGGTTCTTACTCTCAAATTCGGTTGTCTTGCGCTTCTTAAACTGTCCTTGAGTGCCACTGCTACCTTTGACAGTGAGTCGTTTGAGAAATTCTTGGATAGTCATATTGGTGCCTGCTTCGTTAAGTTCTAGAAACATTTTTGAATAAAATTACCTTTAAGTTTTCGGATCCATGAGATTATTTTTACAATTTTCAGCTTGAAATAGGTCCTCATGCAGGAAGGCTCTGTTAGTGGTTTATAACAGAAGAAATCAACTATTGGATCCTCACTCTTTTCCATTAAGTTGATTGTTTCAGAGATGGCTTTGCCTAGATCAAAGTATCCATTTTGTAGTATAGAGAAATCGTCTTTGGAGATGTAGTTTAAAGTTGTATCTGTCTTTGCTCGCATTGTAAAGCTATGCTTGTCTCCAGTAAGAACCTTATAAGCACCAATCCAGCATCCCTGGTATAAGGAGTCAATGGTGATCTCTTTATCTCCAAATTTGCTGTAGATATCAACTTCACCGATTGAGACAAAGAATACCTTGGTAGTTGGGTCGCCTTCCCGGAACACAACCTGTCTGTTTTCGTAATATTCAGTCTTAACCATATATGAGATTTCTTCTATGGTGTTTTCAGAAATATTGACTCAGTAGGGGAGAAGTCTCAGCTGGTTTTTAATAAATCTTTTCATTTTGTCATCATATAATCTCATTTTATTTCCTTAAAAGTGTGTATACCTCAGTGTACTGCTTGCTCAAATCATGAAACACACTCTTCTTGATGAAGCCGAGAGTGGAATAGTTCCGAGTGAGGACTGTAGCAGTTCTCCGACAATTGCAGATTAGTGCAACCTCTCCGAAGAGCTCTCCAGGGTGAATGATGCCTGTAGGATCGTTTTCACCCTTGTGATTTCGTACGTAAACTTTACATTCACCTTTAGCAATAAAATAGAGGGCATCTCCTTCCTCTCCTTGCCGAATGATAGTATCTTCAGGGAGATGATTGCTTGTAATCAGCCTTGTGGTAATGTACTGGATCAAGTCATCGTTTCCCTTGAAAATCGGATTTCCATTGAGAGTTTCGGCAAAAATGCATCTTAGCACATCTTCTCTGAGGCTAGGAGAGATCAAAGAGAGAAAAGTCTTGAGTTCGTCTTGAGATTCATATAATCCTTGCGTATACGTTACGAATGAGATGACTTTCTTCTGCATATTTTCTGGCAACCTCAAATTTTTCATAGCTGTATTGCAAATATCTAACTTATCATGGAATTGTGAGGCTTTACGATTCATTGTTGAAACAATAACTGACAACTCTCCGAACAAATTAGCGTTGATAAGGGCACCAACCATGACAAAGAAAGTGGTGAATGCTACCTGCTCCCATCCTCTTGGCCCAATATCATTTCCGGTGAGCATTAACACAGAATGGTAAAGGGCTATCCAATACTTATAATTTGTGTTCTCTTCAAAATAAGTTGTAGTGACAAAAACATAATCAAGTGGTGGAATCCACTTCTTATCCCTTCGTTTAGCCATTTCGAACCATGCGCAGCCTAAACAATGGAGGTAGAGAGTCAGGTAGAAGATCAGCTTGAACAACTTCAGGGACATTTTCACCTCATTTCTGACATTTAAGTAGGCAATGATCCTGCTAAGTCTCAAAACTCTAGCCAATTTTAGTAGAGAAAATAGCTGCAAGATTTCAGTATCACTCTGGCCCAAAATGAGTGATGCAAATGTGTCAAATGGGATGGTTGCAATGAGGTCGCTCCAGAATCTGAGGCTATAAATATAGTTCTTTGCAATTTTTCTAGGCTCAAACACCTCCTCTCCAGTCCGTGAGTTAATAAAGCTGGTTCGAAAGTTTATCACAATATCACAGAAGAAAGCAAAGTCTATTATATAATTACTGATTTCGAAGAAGAGGTTGTCTTCAAATTTTGGCTCAAAGGCAACCTGGAAGGGGAGTACGAAGCAGTTCCAGATGGAAAGAAGCATAATCAGCAGATCCCAGTTCGTCTTGAATCTGTCCCCATTCCTGAAGAGGAAGCAGGAATTTTGGTAAATCTTCCTATGTTCGTTATCTAGCCCATCGTTTAAATCGACTGGGACGTATTTCGCCGAGTCAACGTTTTCGATATTTTCATCAATGAATGCATCAATTTTGTTGGTCTTTAAAGCTGTGATCACGTTGTTTAGAGCCTTGAAATTCTGCATCTCTAGTTTTGGCTTTCATACTATAGGTTAGAAGAGAAAATGTACAAATTCCTTCTATTAGTTTGGAGCTAGATAATTTCTTAGCTGGAGCCACTGATTTCGCTTTGTTCTTCATTAATAATCGAGGTGACATTATGGGAGTAACCTTTGGTGAGGTTATTTTGATGGTCATCCTGTTACGAAGTGAGGGAGGGTTCAAATTTTTAGCAAAGCTTTTGCTTGTTTGTAGTGATTCATAATCGTAGGGATCTGATGAACCGTTACCTTCAAACTGCTCAAGATTAGCACTCTCCCCGCTTTCTTCGGGGATATCAAAGTATACAGTCTGTTTAGTCTTAATCATATCACGATCTGAATTCGGATTTTCGAATGTGGAATTAGGAGTAATATTTTTTTCCAATTTAGTTTCCATTCCTAAATACATTTATTAACACACTTTAGGCTCAAAATCTGATTAAAACCCCAAGAAAATCATTCAAATCTCTCTAAATCCACTCCTAAACTTAATTTTCAAGAAATAGCAAACATTATACCAAACCCACCCAAAATTCCTCTTCAAACACCTAAAATTCCAAATTCATGCCCATTTACCTAGAACTTTTATTCAATATTAATTTTTCCCATTGGGGTTTTGGGGTTTTGGGGTTTTGGGGTTTTGGGG